TTTTTTTTTTTTTTTTTTTTTTTTTTTTTTTTTTTTTTTTTTTTTTTTATTCAAACATTACTTTAAATGTTCATACCTTTTTTTTATGATTACCTACGTATTTTGTTTTATCAGTAACTAAAAAGATTTTTTTTTTCCACTATTGGTACACGATCCAATAAAATTTTTTTTCCATTCATGGCTAAAAAAATTATTTGACACATCAAGTAAAAACTTTTCAAGTGCATTTGATCATTCATTCAACAAAAAAAAAGAAAAACATAATTGTCAAGTTATTAACAATTTTTTTTTTCACTTTTCAAAAAATGACAAGCTCAACGCAATTAACATAATTTTTTGCTTTATTAATGAACGAGCGCCTTTATCCTAATAATCTCGAATAATCCAGTGCGCTCAATTGTTCTTCACTTTTACGATAAGTGAAATTATTGAATAATAAATGAAGGCATTCACCACAACGACACAGTACGCTTAAATATTTTTTGTTCTAAGTAATATTATTTACTAATATACTGAACAAAAAATAAGATCGCTAACACAATTGTATAATTAATCTATTTTCTAACATAGATGAAAAATAAATTGTAAGAACTTTGGGAAAATTGTGGAAAGTCTATAGGACCTATGCAATGACCCAATATCACAAAGAAAAAGTGAAAAGTGCAATGACTAAGCTGTATAAAATGTATTAACGGCTCTCAAATAAAAAGAAAAATAGAAGTATATACTTGAAAACTTTTTTTTTTTACACGTACGCAGGTTAGAATTCACTTACGTTGAGAACTTCGAAAGCTTTTTTTGTTAACAAGACAGCAGATTGGTCAACTCCCCTCTACTTTACACTTACGCGATACGCGAGGCTTTTACGCCTTTTCTATGTGACCACAAAATGGCATATACCTAACCTTTCTTACTTTTACGCGATACGCGAAACGCGATACGCTTAACGTGGTTCCATGTGCCCGAGCCCTTAGTCTCTGTTCAGAAAAGATACGTTGGTCAAGTTTTTGGTTGGTACCTACCCCTACCCCGGCTTAATTAACCGACCGTGTGTTCGCACACATGTCACATAGGCATATAAGAAACAAAGACTGCTCGTTCTTATATACGGCGCTGAAGCTCAAGTAGAAGGAAAAACAACATCGAACGTGGGTATCTGTCTCTCTTGCACATTCCCACCTTTGGCAATTAAGTAAGCCATAGTCAAAATTAATCTATAGTTTGGATCCAGTCTGGATCCATCTACTGTATAAGCTTTGGATCCAGCCTGGATACATTATAGACCAAAAACTGAGGCCGAAGGATGGTCAAAATTTTAACCAGCCACCACTTTCACCAGTATTGAGGTACCTTATGATTCGTAGAGATCCGAAATATTTTGGTTATATTACATTGTGATAAGGAGTTATGTGGTAATTATAGTTGTTCCATATAATTTTTTTTATTGACCAGCTGCAACTTACACAAATGGATAGAAAATAAAAAGTTGTCGTCTGAACGTGCCATTTGTGGCAAGATTAGAATGCATCTTGAACCTAAAAATCAACCTCCACAAATATAGACTCCCTACCCGATCTTGTCTACAATACTCACCTAAGATAATAGATAATTCATTGTAGATAACTGTTGAATCCGGGGACCTTGCCTTAGGTGGCTTGGTTGCCGTATAAAAAAGGCGGTTAATTTATTTTAATTTATTGTGAAGCTATGAATTCAATTGCATACAAATAATTAAATCTAACACTACACTGGGTTCCAAACTATAAATAACAACACAGAATTTAAAGGGAAAAAAGATACGAAGCCAAAAAAACCCTTTTTGTTAAGAACTACAAAACTGAATAAACATGATAAAACGTACAAATAAGCACGCACACTCGAGAATCACAGACATCACAGTAATTTGAACAAACGCATAACCAACGTATAACTAAACGCATTAGAAATAACAAACAAAAGGTTTCACCTCAGAGCATATACGTATGGAGGAAGCACGTAATGGGATAACATGTAGGCAACTGAAGAGAGAGAAAGCAGTAGGTTTGGGGTACCCCTGGGGTACTACACCCCCACTTCCCCAGACCAAGAAAGTATTAAAAAGAAAAAAAAAAAAATTCAGTTAGAAAGAACAAAAAATGCAACCTCTGATTACACAGTTTGTTTAAATTGAACCCTCATAAATTTTGTAGAAAAAAATTATTACCAGTTACCAAGTTGTCTTGTTTTAAGCCTCCGATATCTTTGGAAAACACTTCTTTTTCGATACAACGTTGGCTTATAAAAAATGAACCTTTTCTAATTTAAATTGAGCTTATCTTACATTTGCAAATATTAGCTTAGTTTTTTTATTAACAATTAATACATAATACTGGTCTAAAAGCTAACCTCATCTCTGTCATGTTTATCAACTGCGCATGCGCTCTGGGGGCTTGCGTGCAGTTTATATACATGATAGAGATGAGGTTAGCTTTTAGACCAGTATTATGTATTAATTGTTAATAAAAAAACTAAGCTAAATAATATTTGCAAATGTAAGATAAGCTCAATTCAAATCAGAAAAGGTTCATTTTTTATGAGCCAACGTTGTATCGAAAAAGAAGTGTTTTCCAAAGATATCGGAGGTTTAAAACAAGACAACTTGGTAACTAGTAATAATTTTTTTCTACAAAATTTATGAGGGTTCAATTTAAATAAACTGTGTAATCAGAGGGTGCATTTTTTGTTCTTTCTAACTGAATTTTTTTTTTTTTCTTTTTAATACTTTCTTGGGCTGGGGGAGTGGGGGT